AATAACTTAGTCTCTATCTCTCAATCTTTCTAGATGATCCATAATGATCATATTCGATATCCAAAACGAATATATCTTTGCATTGGCCAATGACTTTATGATCCATCTAGATATGAGAAGTAGAATGTTTTCTCTTAATCTATTATGAGGAATGAATTCTTTCTTGGCTCAACAACTACTCCATGTGCTTCGTGATGCACCCAACACATGTTGTATCTGCCCCGATTGGAGTGCAAGCGTTTGTCATGGTCAAAGCACATCACTCCGCACATGTAGTATGTATTGACCTCAAGTCGGAGGACTATTACACTACTCTATACGCCGAGAATCTCATAGACACATGAATAGAACTTATCAAATGGTTTCTCGGTGGGTATGCCAATATTCTCTAAAATATCTATGTGACCATCATGAATTACAGAAACTCATAGTTGTGAGATCAACTATACTTTTTAAAAATATGATGCAGTCCACGTACCAATCTTATCGCATATCATCAATATCTCATTCTTGATGATCATTGATTGGGGCTATTTTAGGACCTTATGTTATATCACATAAGCTCCCACTTACTTATTGACAACATAAATCCAAGGGAACACAATTATGAATAAGATATTGACAACCGAAATACTTAATCATCAATGTGTAATACCATATATATCAAATATATAAAATTGAATGTGATCAAGTACATATATCTCTAAAAAGTGATTGTCGCTAGGACATATATACTAACCATCTCCCACTTGTCCTAGTGCCAATCACCAATGCGTCTAACACCTAGACTCTCAAAAGCCTACAATGTTTCTCGCATCTCAAAGGTTTGGTGAATGGGTCAGCCAAATTGTCCTCTACGGGAAGGCATTCTATTGCAACTTCTCATCTTGCTATTTGTTATCAAAACACGATAGCATACTGGTATTTTCTAGTTCCTTACTTTGCATCTTGGTTCCTTAGCTTGTGCAAATGCACTGGTACAATCACAATAACAATTATTGGATAACTGTCGCTAAGAACTACCCCTATTTATTTAAGGAACTAACGTATCTAAACGCTTACCTACGTTGCATCAAATGCAACAATTTACTAGGCTCTCGTTGTCGAATTTACAATAGTTTCTTACTTGCAACTCTTGCAGCTTTACTATTACACTGAGACTAAAAACATAAACTGACTGTGACTCGTAGTTTTTCTTATCATACATGAAACTAGTGCTACAATAATTAAATTCTACTAGGTCTTTCTGTCTACCATAGACAAAAGATATTCATGAAGATTTTGGGTGACCATTCTTTCACTGACTTCAATGGGGGATATCATTCTCTATGATCAACATATATGATTATAAGGACCACATTATCCTTGTTGCACACTCTAAACACGCAAGCACCCTCATTTCATTTGATGAGGTCAAATGATTTGACTATTTCATCAAAATTAATATTTCAACTCCTAGAGACTTGTTTTAGCTCATAAATAGATTTCTCTAATCAACATAGTGATTTAGAATTTGACTTGGATGCAAAAACCTTCAGGTTGTACCGTGTACACCTCCTCCTTGAGGTTTCTATTAAGGAAATGGGTTTTGACATCCATTTGTCAAATCTCATAATCATAGTATGCAGCTATCACAAGCAAAATCCGAATGTACCTCAGTTTTGCAACTGGCGAATAGGTATCACTATAATCAATTCCTTCTCTTTGACTATAACCTTTAGCCACTAGCCTAGATTTATATGTTTGCACCTTACCCCCATCATCAATTTTCTTCTTGAAAATCCTTTGCATCCAATGGGTCTAACCCAACAGGCAAGTCAACCAAGTTCCATACTTGATTGATATACATCAAGTCCATTTTAGATTTCATGGCATCTCGCCACCTCTCTAAATCAACATCTAATATTGCTTTAGTGTAGGTCTTAGGTTCATCCTTATCAGGAATCTCAACATCATCATGATCTTCCATGAGGAAGTCAAACCTAGTTAGTTCATGACGAATCCTTGAAGATCCACAGAGTTGAATGTTTTGCATTTTGTTGAGGCTGTTCACTCTTGTCGTGAAGGGGTTCTCTTTCATTGGACTATTCAATGCTCAGAGAGTTTTCTGGTGATATACTCAGAGAGGGAGAGTTAGGTGCAGAAGGAATGACAACCATGTCATTACTTTCTTCATAAGAATCACTTGCTGGTGCGAAGCACTTCCTATATTACTCCCACTAGCTGAAGGATATCCTCCTAGAGACATTCTTCAACTTAATTCTCCCACTGAATCCTTTGTCAGACCATCTAACAACTCTTCATTCTCTATGTTACTTCAACTTTCAATTTGATTAGTGCACATTTCTTTACATATGTAGGGCAACCCATATTGAATATGTGAAGAAAATGTCTTTTATTATACTATAACTCATATAGTACGTTTTGCACTAATCAAACTATTCAGAATGCATATTGAGATTTATAGCGTGTACCCACAAAAGAATGTTTGGAAGAGAAAATGAATTCATCATAGATTTAGCCATGTCTAACAAATACCTATTTCTCCTTGCAGGAACGCCAGACTTCTAAGGTGTTCTGGAGGAGTTCATTATGACCGAATTCTTTGACCTTTTAAATAAATCAGAAATTTTACTTAAGTACTCTTTGGCTTGCTATCCTTTTTCCTAGAAAAGGTTTATTAGTCAAGTTGCTTGAAAGACAAGATTCACAATTTCCATATGACTCAAAAGCAAATGGTGTTAAATAATCTAATTTATTTAACGTTGCTATTCTTGTTTCATTAATTTGACCAAGTTTGCAATGTCATAGATAGGTAGTAATTTTTTTGATTACTTAATCGAGATCCTTTTATTTTATTCATTTAATATCTAATATGTCGATTGATAATTAACCATTCATAAGACAAGCATTTCTACAACAACACCATTTTACGAAAATAACAATTATTATTAGCAAAATGGAAATAGAAATCTTTTAATGTCTAACATATGAATGGAAATAATCTTCTTGGTAATAGAAGGAATAAAATAAAAATTATTTAATTCTAATCTAAAACCACCGGGCAAATCTAAACTATAAGATCCTATCACGTTCAAGATCCTATCACGTTCAGCAGCAACTTTTGCTCCAGCCTTCATGCGTAGGTCAATTTTACCCAGTCCAACTGCTACACTGCTTCTCAGGCTTCTGCACATTTTTGCAAATGTGTAAGCATAAGTTGTATCTAATACTTTAACAATGAGAGTTAGTTATAGACATATTTATTTAATGATAAAAATACCTGAGCTTGAAGCACCCGGTGCTTTGGCTAGATTAACCTTATACAGCTCACAATCTATCTTCCAATGCCCCTTCTCTTTGTAGTAGAGGCAAACATCCTTTGCAACTTTTGGCTTCATATGACCTCCACCTTTAGGCTTCAGAGCTGTAGGAGTAGGTCCAACCTTACCTTTCTTCTTTTGCTTATTCTTGTTCTTAGAACGAGGCTTAACATTAGAGCTTACCATAAGAACAGTCTTTCTTTAGAGGTTAAGGCTTCATAAGACTTGAGCATGTTATGGAGTTCAGGCATTGTCTCTTTCATTTTGTTCAAATTATAATTCACAATGAAGTTAGTAAATGAACTCAGAAGCGAATATAGGATGATAGCAGCTGAGACACGATCCTCAAACATAATTCTGGTGGTAGCAATTCTTTCAATTAAGCCAATCATTTTGAGGACGTGCTCAGACACGTTGCCACCCTCTTGAAGCCTACACTTGAAAATGTCTGTCAGAAGTTCATACTCTAGAGTCTGACTTTATGAATCAAACAGACTTTTCAAGTGTTCAAGCATCTCGAATGCGCTCATCCTATCGTGTTGCCTTTGCAACTCCATAGACATTGCAACCAACATAACACATTGCACAGTTTTAGCATTAGTGACGTGTTTCTCTCGAGCAGTCAGGTCAAACGTGGCAAACTCAGGAGAGTTGGCATCAGGAATCTTGGGTACCGGTGTGTCTAACACATACTCAATATTTTCTTGTCTAAGAACTAAACGCACATTTCTTTCTCAGTCCATAAGTCCAAGGGAACACAATTATGAATAAGATATTGACAACCGAAATACTTAATCATCAATGTGTAATACCGTATATATCAAATATATAAAACTGAATGTGATCAAGTACATATATCTCTAAAAAGTGATTGTCGCTAGGACATATATACTAACAGGTACATCTAGCAAACTGTAGACATCTCCATTATTCATACCAGGGGCGGATCTAGCTTTCGCATCCAGGTGGGGCCAAAATGTAATTAAAAATGAATATTCAAAAAAATATTTATTCTAGCAACAAAATCAAAAACAAAAATAAAGATTATAGTAATAAAAGTTTGCATTAAAGTCAAATACAAAAACATCATAATTTTACAACTGTTCTCTACGGGTTTTCATCGATTGATATCGTTTGATAATGACATCATTGTCAATTTTCAAGAAGATGTCTTTTTCCACATAAACAATAAGTCTATCATTGAGCCAGTCGTCACTCATCCGATTGCTCAACCTATCTTTCACGATATTCATTGCTGAAAATACTCTTTCAACACTAGCGGTTGCAACAGGAAGAATCAATGCCAATGTCAACAACTTGTAAACTAAAGGAAACACCTTGTGCTTCTTAGTTTCTACCAATTTCTCTTCAAGGTCACCAAGTCCATTGAGCTCCTTAAATAAAGCATTAGAGCGCACATCAAAGATATAACTTTCAAGTTGATCAGTGAGAATACAAACATCTAATGGTGAAAAATCCCGGGGATAAAACTCGGCCAATCTAAGCAATTTCTTCTTCTCAAAAGCAGAAAGTGAATCTCGTGGAGATAAGCAAGCAATGCATAGTAGCAACTCTGTACTAGCTTGTGAAAAGCGATCACCCAACTATTGCAGTTGCAAATCAATCACAGCACAAAATAGATCATAGCGATAGTGATGCAAATTAGTAAGAGTTGGTCCTTTACGTACGGGGCGACCTCGAGAATCAAAATGGATGAATGTGTCATTCATGTTTGGGATATCAATAGAATGTTGATCACAAAAATTACAAACCTCCTCAAACAATGAATCCCATCTGTCATCTCTAGCAGCTTGAAGTCTGTACTTGCAAACTCTAACAAGATCCATTGCATTGACAATATCTTGGTCACGCCTTTGTAAAGCATGAGACAACTCATTTGATATTTCCAAAATAAATTTCATCATATGCAAATTTAGAACAAAATCAAAGCAATGCATCATCTTGAGTAAATACTCTATCTCCACCTTTTGCATAGACGTAGTTACGTCATCATCGTTTATCACATCAAGAGCATCACCAACAGCAGAAAACATTGAAATCAAGCTCACCAAAGATCTATAATGTGAACCCCAACGTGTATCACCCGCGCGCTGAAGGCAAGATTCTTGGTGAAGACCCCTTCCACATGAAATTTTGCCACTTTCAAGCGCTTCAACAATGAAGTTCAATTGTTTTTCACGAAGAATGTCAGAACGTTTACACGAACCTCCAATAACATTTATCAGTTGAGCAACAACACGAAAAAAATCAGCGATGAGAAGATTCTTTGTTGCAACAGCTACAAGGGCAAGTTGGAGTTGATGTGCAAAGCAATGAATGTAATATGCACTTGGGTTCTCATTAAGAATAATTGTTTTCAACCCACTTAGCCTCCCTTGCATATTACTCGCCCCGTCATAATCTTGCCCTCTTAATCTAGATATGCTCAAGTTGTGTCTACAAAATAGCGTGTCAATCGCTTCCTTAAGTGCAAGTGATGTGGTACTAGTGACATGTTCAACTCCAATAAATCGTTCTTTCACATATCCACTAGCATCAACAGAGCGTATCACAATTGACATTTGCTCTTTTGTTGATACATCACGGGATTCATCAACTAGAATAACATATAAAGAATCTCCAATATCTTGAATGATAGCATTCACCGTTTCAATAGCACAAGCATGAGCTAAATCTTTTTGAATGCTAGGTGCAAGAAGTTTACAATTTCCTGGTGCATTATCCATTACTACAGAAGCTATCTCAACATTATGATCTCTTAAAAATTCCACGGTCACTAGAAAATTACCTGGGTTTAGAGAGTCTTCAGATTCGTCATGACCGCGGAAAGGTAACCCCAACCTCAACAAGTACCGCACACAATCAAGAGAGATTGTCAGTCGAATGCGATAATCATGCTTTGTCTGCATTGATTGATTGTCCAAAATTGTCTCAATATGTGCATCTTGGTTCATCAATGCATCACACCTCATTCGAGCTTGATTGTGCTCACTATCATGCTTTCCAACATGAACATTGAGTTTGGCCTTATCTTTCCAACAGCTAAATCCCTCCGAAACAAACACATCTCCTCCTGATTGTTTCCCTTTCTTGAGTTTGAAAAGGTAACAATACAAACAATAAGCAGCATCTTTAGATATGCTATACTCCAACCATTCATGTTCAGTAAACCAAGTCAGAACAAATCTTCTCGATTTATTTGCAGAAACCATCTTCATTGGGAAGTCATGCTCAAATGGTTGACAAGGGCATTTCTGCAAATATGCTCTTCGAACTTGATCTCTAATATTTGGATGATACCTTGAGATCGGTATTCTCAATCCAGGGTCATATGGAAGTTGGGAAGCATCAAACTCATTAGCGGCGACTGATTGTATGATTGTATGCTCTTCGTCATTTGTTGTTGAGTTTTCTTGAATTGTAGTTGACGGCACAGCCGGCACTACAATTTTTGATGAGCTACTTTCATTAGCTTTTTCTTCAACAGGGTTATAGTATCTCTTCATTACCTATTTACCTATGTTGAAAATAACGGGATGACTACTTACAACACGAATATTAATTAACTTAATAATTATATTAATTAGAACACCTACAAGTCACAAGCAAATACATACTACAAATGATGATTACAATTTACAAATTCACAATTAATAATCAAATTCACAATTTCACATCAAGCAAAGTTTAAAATTCACAATTTACAAGTTCACAATTAATAATCAAATTCACAATTTTACACAAAGTTCACAATTAATAAAAGTTTTAAAAAAAATACATGTCGTGCAGAGCTGCAGAACTGCAGAAGTGTAGTCGGCGGCAGGGGCGGTCGGGCGGAGTAGGCGCAGGCGCGCAGCCGCGCAGAGCTCAGCTACTTCTCGGCTTCTCGCCGTTCTCGCCTCTCGGTCTTCTCGGCGGAGTCGGCGCAGAGCTGCAACAGCGCAGGCCGCAGCAGCCAGCAGGCGGATAGGCGGTGCAGCCAGCAGGCGGACAGGCTTCTCGAGTTCTCGCCGTTCTCGCCTCTCGGTCTTGGGATTTTGCGTTTTGCCGTCGTTTGGAGTCGCAGAGGCGCGGATCTCTGGCTTTTTTGTTTCGCCGACAAACAAAGAAAAGAAACGGACTTTTGTTTTTTGGACTTCAAAATTGAGGTTGGGCCTGATTTTTTAAAAATTCAGACTGGGCCTAATTTTTAAACACCTATACTAGTTAAAAAAAATTCAGCATGGGCCTAGGCCCTGCCTGGCCTAAGGCCCAATCCGCCCCTGATTCATACCGCGTAACAAAATTGCTCATGTTCGCCAGTCCTTAATAAGACAAAAAGAAGGGTGAAATTCAATCAGTACGTCATTATCACGACATATTTTGGCCGTGGAATATAAATTGGTATGAATAGAAGGGACAAAAAGAGTATCAAGGAAAGAGAGTGAAGAGTCACATGCCCAACTTATGCAATCCCAAGGACTTATGATTTCAAGTTGTTGGTGACATGACTAGTTTCTATAAAATCAAGTAGGCATCCATTGTGATAATTAGCCTAGCATTATTGACTTGGGGAGGGTAAACTTGTTGTTCAATCGATGCTAACAATTAACAGCGAGAATGATTATTCACACGTCAGGGCGGGTTGTATTGATTAATGGGTTTCTGATTTCGAAACTAATTCAGGGTATAAATATTAACTCAACTGGACTAGTTTTGATATTGGGTCATTGGTCAGGACCTAATATCGACAAATAGTGATGTTCATGTGAAACCAAATTGCTTCTGGCTGCAAGAGCAAGGGCATCATTGGGGTATTCCTTCACTGGTAATGGCAGAATTCATAGTACTACAAATGCTGAAGTCAGGAGGTTGTTGACCAAGGTGCAAGGACCTTTGGGAAAGAGAGTTGTTTGGCTAGCAGATGGATTTTCGAGGTCCCCTTGTTCTTGGGGATCCTTGAAATGGACATTTTCGGATCTGCCGATAGTCATGGCAGAAAGAGGCTCATTAGAGCTCTATGGCTCTCATACAATAAAGAATAAAGAATAAGACTTTGAATTATGTTTCTACATGCATTTAATGGTTAGAAGTGTTGCTATTTATACAAGTACAAAACATCTCTATAAGGTAAGCTATTAGACTATCTTAAATGACAAAGATATGTTACGGTTATAGCATTTAATACAATAATACTATGCATTAATTATAGTAGCTGATTTGATTTATTGAGTCTCTTCTACAATTATTGAATGGTGGCGAAAGGAAGATAAAGAAAGTGATGAAAGACAAGAACATGGCGACCCTCAGCTTTGTCTGGTCTTGTCTACTTGGGGAGTCCACTAACTAGCACCCCAATGTGGCAGGTAGTCCAAGCTGAAGATGGCTTTACAGACGGGCCTTCCATCGTGTGCTTTCTTTTTGTTGTTTATATATTTTTGCATATTGTTAACTTCTCATCTATTTTGTAGATCGAGAGACGGTTCACGCTCGGAAGGTTCTCTGCGGTGATGAGAAGGAGACCAAGCGAGTTGAGAAGGCTCACAAAAGGAAGTGGCTTCCCGGTACCCCCCCCCCCCCCCCCCCCCCCCAACAAGTAACGACTTTTTCTAAAAAGTGGGGCTGTAAAGAAGATAAGGGCATGGTTGACTCCTCGGCCATCGTGGGGGTCAATGTAGTGGTAAAGGATGGGGTCATAGGGTTGCCGAAGTCCAGCCAACACCCCATTAGCGGGGGAGCTATGGATGGCGTCATCTATGGGCATGAGCTTGTATCAAGGGCAATGCCAAAGGTCGATCGTGCTAAGGTTTGAGCTATCCCGGACAAGGAGTTGTTCACTAATGGCTTCAACACTCTTGCCACTTGCCGGGGTAAGCCTTCGGCGTTGCTTCCCTCCCTCCTCTCCTATTTCTCATTTATACGTGTGTTCATTTGCTTGTTGTTGATCTTGTAGGTAGTGTTCCTCGCATTGTAGTCCGGGAAGAGGAAGTGTTCATAGTCCAAGGAGTTGGGCAAGCTGAAGAAGAAGCACATGGGCACAGATGAGGTGATTGTCTGCTTCACAGCCATGAAGGCTGAGATTGAGAAGCTGCAAAAGAATGTGGAAGAAGATGCCACGGAGAGGTAGGCTTTGGAGGCCAAGCTCAAGTTAGCCAAGGAAGCAAAAGAAAAAATTGACGGCTATCAACGTATGATAGTACTGCGGAGGCCAAGCTCAATTTGGTATTATACAATGTATGATAGTACTTCCAACTTTTTAAGGGGCTAATGGATATCAGAAATGAAAGTGCAGCAACAGTAGCTTTTATTACACTTGGGGGAACTTGACAAGTAGCTTTTATCTAAGCTACCATGGACATCTCAGGAGGTTACCACACTCAACATGTTTTTAGTATAGCTGAACCATTGTCATTCTTGTTCAGTTATAGATGAGGACACATGAGCAACACATTAGAATTGGGTGGTAATTTGGGAAAAGAGAGCCTTAAAATCCTTGGTCGGTGTTCCAGTGCCCTCTGGTTTTGATGACAAATCAAATGCCTTGAATTTTGACCCCTCAAACTGTAGTGCCTGCCAACACAAGACAGCAGCATCTGAATATAAACCCTCATGTGGTGCTAACAATAGCACTGCCATATGAAATCAAGAATATAATACTCCGTATATAGTTACCTGGATGCAGACTTCAGCAACATCAGCTCTGGGAATAGTCCTTGTCTCCGTCTTAAGCAGTTCATCATCTTTCCCGATGAGCAGTTCACGAACACCACCTTCTCTATCTTGCAAGCCCCCAGCTCTGAACAGACCACATACGCATAAATGGCAACAATACTGAGGGGAGACAGATATTAAATATACCTGGTGTGGCGGAACCAAAATTTAGTATCAAGAGGGCCAAATATGGGGGGTGGGCTTCCAGCCCTCCTAGCTCCAACATTGACCCAATGGGGGTGAAGGGAGTTGGCCATTTCTTTTTAGAAGCATTTTTGTGTTTTTTTTTTGTTTTAAAAAAGCTAATAGCCTAATAGACAATAGTAATGTTATTAAGTTGGTGCTCTTGCGTATTAAGCACTTCAAGTCTTCAAAGTTATAACCATAGACTTAGGAAAAGGGGGCTTAAAAAATCTGTTTTTTACATTTTTGATAATGTTCTATCCAATTAATACACCAAAAAATGTTTTTTACCAAACACTCCATCAACTTCTACTTTTAAAAAATCTTTTATTATAATCCCAAACACTATATGTTTTTACCACTGAACACTGTGTAGAATCTCTAAACTAAATAACCTCTCATAAGCACAAGCAAACACAAACACTAATTCAATGCAAACGCACAACCAAAATATAAAAACAATTCAATGCAAAGACCAAGAACGGCATTGGAAGGTTTTTGTCCAGCACCAGCTTGCTTTCAAAAACCTTTTCATTGGAAGGTAAATTTTCATGACGACATACCTTATAATGGTATATGAGATTCCAGACTCAGCCAAATACTCTTCAGCCTTTCTCTTCCAAATCTGTAACTCTTTTAGTTATAAATTATGAACCAGAACAATTTATTAAAGCAAAAGTTGGGCAGCTGCGAAATAACGCAGGGAAACAAAATAGAACCTAATTAAGAAGTAAACCTGTTTTTACATTCCTAGTTATTTATAAAAAGATGAACAAAGTAATGTAGAAGATAATAATCTATAGTTACATTCCCAGTTATATCGTACAATAACCTTGTACGATATACAAGTGGGAAACACAAATGAAAAATTACTAGCCATGTCAAGCGCGGTGGACAGGCATGGAAATGTTGAAATGTATTGGTGCAGCCAACATTTAATATCTAAATTAGCAGCTATGCTAGCAAGAATATAATAATACGCAGTTCTTAAACTTGGAAGTTGATGTGGTCTTGTAAAACATGTCTAAGCAATAATGTTTTCCCAACACGGGAGCAATGTGAACAAGGATTGGGGGAGTGAGGAAATTTCACTTATGTGTTGGAGAAAAGAACGAAAAATCCAACACAAGCAAATAAGGAACCCATAAGGGGAAATTAAAGATAAATTATGAAGTGGTAAGCAAACCAATATGTTTCCATTTCCTATGCTGTTTAATGGGTTGCTGGGAACTGTTCCCCCCATTGATCCAACAAGAACAATGTGCTTTACCCCCACAGCCATGGCTGTAAATGGAAAACGCGTTTGTCAAATAAACATTATTCTAAACAATCAGCTAGCCAAAGTTTAAAAAACACAACCCTCACCAGCATCTATTTGATTCTTTTGACCAATCCAGTCAACCTACAAAAAGAACCAATTCTTTGATAGGTTGCAAAAGATTTAAGAAAAAACAAGCTTGAATAATAACTTTCAGTGTTCAGTTTACCTGTTCAGGAAATTGCCCGTCTTCGAAGTATAATTCTGGCCGTTGACCTTTAGTAGGATCAAAACCAGGCTTCATCTTTGGCACGGCACTTGTAAGAATTATGAGGGCATCAATTCCTTGTACTGCAGGAACTATGCTATCAGAATTCCTGATATCTCCTACATAAACATCATCTTCACCACTGATTTTGTTCTTACTCTCTTCTGTTCTCACCAAGCCTCTTGCAACAAACTGGTCAGTCCTCTCTTTCAACTTTGTGTAAACAATTTGTCCTGTGAGGAACACCAAAGCATGTCAATAAGAACTTTCTGGAACACTGGCTTTTCCTCTCATTTTGCACAGTTCACACACGCTAATCATGACCGGAAGCAAAGTCTTACTTTGTTGGGCATTAGAAATTAGAGCATTACTATTCATCCAATATTTTTATGTTTAGTGATGTTTCCTCAAGTTTAACTTTCCAAAAAACAAGATCAAAAACGAAATACAGATAAATCAACAAAACTACAGTGGAAACAACCCTTTGAAACTCGAGAATAAGAAAGGAGAAGAGGAAAAGGTGTAGAACAACTTGATTGACCCTGTCTGTCTCCTTGGAAAACAACTAGTTGGTTCAGGCTTTTAAACTTGGAAATGTCTGTTTCCATTTTAGTTTGGAGAATATCTCAACCTCAAAACAATTTCCATTCTCCATTACTAAGTTTTGTTCTCTGTCTATTTTGCAACGAAAATCTCACATTGGGAGTTGAAAAGTTAACTTTTCAACAGACGTTTAGAAAAAAATTAGCAGCGAAAATCTCAAATTGCATAGATGGATTTATCATGAGGGCAGATAGTAATTGAAAATCCTCTTTAACAATAATTACGGTAACAGCAGCTCCATGCACTAAGCCCACATGGTAATTGAAAAGTTTGAAGGTCTTACCGGTTCTACCACCAGCCCCGGTAACAAGAACGGTGCTTTTGCCATCGGCCATGGCCGAAGCTGAAAATCTCCTAAAACGGCAACTTCTGGTTGTTAAACTGAAGCAATGGAGAGAAGACGCCGCTGGAAGTCCATTATATAGTTGGACCGTCAGCCACCTACATCTGCGGCTCGTTGATGGAGGCGCTGTAGGGAGATGTGACAATGCTGCCATTTCTCTGGATGACGTGTATGCGAATTTCTGGAGTGCTTGACTCTGATTGAGACGAGACCAAGAAGCAAGCAAGTACTAAAGTACCAGAGGTTGAGCACGATTGAAGGTGGCTAAGCTGCCTTTGAAATTCTTACAGCTCAAATTTTCGACACCGTACATTTTACTGCATCCATTTTCTGGAAAAATGTAGTGCTGCGCGCAATTTATACCCTTCAACACGTGAGCATCAGGAGTATGGTCCGAAAAGTGTTTGATTCCATTATTTTTTATTTCTTTTATTGTTAAAAATTATAATAACTTTTTTATTTGATATTCGATTTTTATAAATTTTATATCAAATTTTATAAAAATAGATTCAAAAATAAAGAAAATTATTAAAAATTTTAAGAAAAGGAGAAATAAAAAATAACAAAGGGTGCATGATGCTCACCATGCACCGGTTCCACGGTATAAGCACTGAGTGCTGGGATATCACAGTCACCTTGATATCAAAACACGGAAAAATGTCCCAATAAAAAACAATAAACTATAAATTCCTTATGCTCGGTATACTCGTCTCTATTTTAAAGTCTGCTACATTAGGTTGAGTAAAGTAATAGGGGTAATAAATAGTGTAGAAAAAGTAGGAGAGAATGTATAAAAATATGAAAAAGAAATAAAAAGTAAATAAAGTAAAGGTAGTTGAGTATTTTATAAAGAGTAAACTTACCAAAAATGGAAGTGTATGGAACTTTTAAATACAGATTAAAACGGAAAGTGTAAAGATTTTTTAAATACAGAGGGAGTATATTAAGTACGAGTAATGTTTACAAAAGAAAAAAATCCATCAATATTAGATTATTAATCTTAAAATGAACATTATTACTTCTATGATAAGTAATTGCATTATCAATGTTAGATTATTAATCTTAAAATGGCGCCTTGTATAAGTATTCTAAAAGAAAAAAATCCATCAATATTAGATTATTAATCTTAAAATGAACAAAAATATTACATAATAACTATTAGTGACTACAATTGTATTCAAAATTTACATCGTAATAATTTACATGCAATTACTATGATAAAAATTTGAACACAAACAAGCATTCCAGTTCAGCTGGTTGTGAGGTTACCGTGCCTAGTGAGAGGTCTCGAGTTCGAAACCCACTAGGCACACAAGAGTTTGAAACTTAATGTAATAAGTTGCAGCCCTAATTACTCTAGGCTCCCCCTTCCCCAGACCCCTCGGAGTAAAAAAATGAACACAATTATTATCACTAATAGTTACTAAGTAATATTTTTGTAATACGAAGTAAACCATTTGCTATGGTATTCTAGTTCAAAAATATCTATGACATTTTGATGGACCGTAATGGCGTGTAGCAAGCCTATGAATTCTCATATCAACAGTCAAATAATTTCTAAAAAATAATATGTAGAATTTGTGTAGAAGAAGAATAATCAATCAACCATCAATACCATGTTTTCATTATGATATGGGAATTGGCAAGAATACGTGATATATGTATGAAATGTTGAGGGAGAAAAGCTAAAGAGAATGCTCTATCAAAATGATAAGTGCGAAAATATTGTGTAGACTTAGGCATGTTCGAACCCCTCTACCTTTATTTATAGGTGAGAATCGAATAACCTATTACATTTAGGAAAATAAGCGCGCATGGATTATTTATTTAATTAGTCCACTTCTCTCTCAACTAAAAAGTCTGCTAATACTAATCTAGTTAATAAGGATAATTACAATTAATTTGAACACGATCAATAATGTTATAACAAAAGCCTCTTAAAGTTCAGTCACATGCATGAAGATTATTGGGTACACCCTATTCTTAAAATAAATTTCATCCATTTTTCTTTATCCGTCTGAATATAAACTTTTCTCTTGCAAACAACTCTTTTTCTTTTTATGACAAAGAATTTATGATTCACAACGTTTGTTTCTTCTCTTTAATATTTTGAATATTCTAGTTTATATATTAAGTGTGGTAAATAAAAATAAAAATAAAAATAAAAAACAAGATTCTACCAAATTAATACGTATTATAAGTTAAAATAAAAATTTGATGCTATTGCAATTTAAATATTTGCGATGTTATTCATTAATTTAGAATTTGTGTCGATAAAGTAAGAGTTTTGCATAATATCATAAATGTGAAAAAGTATGAGAGGAAAATAGAATAAATGAAATACAAGATGAAAAAGTAAAAAAACGAGATTTAAAAGATAAAAAATTAGGAGAAATATTATGTTCTTAGTTTGATTTATTTGAGTTCCAGATTACACCAGACTAGACAATAGTATAATTAAAATGCACATACCAGACTTGGCAGACTACATCAGAGACTGGAGAATTTCATTCCAATTAAAAAAAATCACCTTATGAAAAAATATAGTAAAATTTACGAAATGCATGTCCAACATGACTTACTCCATTAATTTTATTGATTTATCATTTGATTGAAAAAGTGAGAGCAAGCTTATCGAAATTGAAAGCCTTATGAATATCTAAGTACTCCCAGAAGGGGTAGTGTCCAAAGTTTTTTATATATGAGAACTTAATTAAATTTTAATATTTTTTAATAATTATAACTTTGATATGAAGCATAAAAGTTATAGTTCATGTTTGTAAATGGTATGTTTTCTTAATCTCAATACGTTAAAAACGTAGGTGTCCGAGGTTAATTTTTTTATTTTTTGTTAAGCATGTTTTTCTCGCACATGTAATACCTCATTTTTATGAAACATATTTTTGTGTGAAGAGAAAAATCTAATTTTTCCTACTTTTTAAACATTAAACCTTCATGGAACACAAATTATGTGCATAATAAGAACAATAAATTAATTTCAAACAACTCATTTGGACCAACCACCAGAAAGGGAGAAGAGGTTTGAGAACTCATCTCTAAAGGATTGCTTTATGTCTGCTGCCCTGTTAGATTTTCAGGCGGTGTTGCGAGTAAATGTAGAGAGAGAGAGTGTATTATAAATGTGGAGCGTTTTCAGCGTGGTTACAAATGGGGAAATGGGGTGCTATTTATAGTAGCAATAAATGCCGGACAGGGACACGTGTCAAGCGCCTATTGGCCGAGGGGTCGCCTCAACTGGTTGGCGTTGGCAGCCGCATGTGGCCGCATTTAATGCGGCTGTTGGATGGGACGTCTGTACAGGGTACGGTGATCTGTACGCATGTGAGGCGGATATCATGTCGGGAGAGGTGCCCTCGGCTGCAGAGGACTAGCCGAGGGCTCTTAGTGCCGAGGGCTCCAGATGTCGAGGGCTACTGTTTTCGCCGTTTTCTCACAGTTCCTCTGTTTGTTCGAAATATCCATGCTGTGATAGTTTGGAGCCTTCGGCCAGGGGGCCGAAGGCACCCCTGGTGCGTATTGCGGGCTGCTTGGTACTTTGGGCGCCGTGATTTGGGCATGTTGGGCCTTCTGGGCCTATTGGGCCTCTACTGGAGTAGTAGGAGTCTGTGGGCCGGGTGTTCCCGGGCCATATACTCCATCAGGTAAGAATGGAATGCAAAAATAGGTATGTTTCCAATAGGACTCATATGGTCCTATTTTGGAATAAAAACATAGCAAGTCCTATTTTAGGTTTTTGGCATAGTTTTAATCCTATTTGAACTAATTTCTAAAAAGTTTAATATTGAAAAGAATAATGTTTTGGGCTATAAATGAAATAGGATTGATGAAAGTAGATCAAACGGGTAATTGCCACTTATAATTTTCAGGCTGATCAGGGTGTCTACATTAATAAGTTTAAAAGTAAGGTGCAAAATCAATGTAGTCCAAAAATGGAGTGCAAAATCGAATTCTCCCTGTTTGTTAACCTTCAAGGATTATAAAAATAAGGATTCAATCACATTCCTTACATAGTCTTCTGATTCTTTATTAAACCTCTTCAAAGACATCGATGGAAGAATTGCAAAGTTCCTAAAAAGCACCAGGGCAAACAAATTTGCATTCACTTTGTTGGGAGAAAAGGTACAAAAATCAGTAAACATTTCTAGAGGGTCATATGTATAACGAATGCATGATCTGAATTATCATTTGGTGGATAGTTTACTACCAATGGGTTCTAAAAAATCAAAGTTACCACAACTCTATATTTATATCACAAAGCAAATTAAGTAGACTCCATGCATTAGAAGTGGATTAAGATTTTGTAGAGTGGAGGAGATAGATGCATGCAATACAATAACAAATTTTGTATACAAAAAGCTTAAGCCCTACAGATTTTGTAGGGTCAAATAGACTCTTATACTATTTGCGATCCATATTTTCAACCCTTCTACTAAAAAAATGTGTACGCTTGTTTTTTTATGTACAATCAATCAAGTCATTTCGACTTGCTATTAAAAAAATATTAAAAATATAGATAGGTCTTATAAGAATTCATAAAAACTTGAAAAATAATATAATTATAATATAAAATATCATAAATGTAAAATACACATAAATAATTCAAAACGTTAAAGTAAAAAAAATCAGAAATCTGAAAAAATTAAGTGAAAATGTAAATAATATAAAAATATTAAATGTAAAAAACTTTTAAATAGATGTAGAATAAGAAAATAATTACCAAAATTAAAAAATATCGACTTTGATGTACTATAAATTTTCAAATTTTTTATTTATATTTTTTCAAATTTTAACAATTTTATAGTTTTTAATGTAAAAACCTGCTCTTAGCCTATTACAGGTCAAAAACTGAACAAATGGCCAAATTGATCAAGTTTTGAAAGTAAACATACTTATATAATATTTTTTTAGCGCACTAACTTAAGTGATGTATTCGAAATAGTACAAGGGCTTATTTGATACCTTTTCCAATTTAGTTTAATGCTTATGAATGCTCTGTAATGCTTAACACATTCATATATTTGCATTTACTTTCAAAACCACTGTAAATAATATATACACATTGCTTTTGATTAGGTCATGCTCATATATTAACAAAATATTAGCGCGCACATTCTTCTTTACTAACCTTATACTCTTATTTTACATGATTGTGTGAATTTTATTAACGTATATAGATGTTTATCGTTTTAATACTTATCAAAGTACTATCGAGGCATGCCTCGGGTGTTACACTATTCGGTTGGTATTGTAATGAAGCATCACACCATCATTTTATTAGAACGGTCTACTTTATGGTTATTTTTACCCCCTTCGCTCATCCTTGAAAGTCCCCATTTATGTCTAATGCATATTTGAGAATAAAATTTATTTTTTCCTAATAATATTGAAATTAGTATTGAAATGACTTTACCAAAAATCACTTTCATAGTTGATCTGTCATGAAAATTAGCATGGAGTCGTGATAATACTTGGTGCAATTCATCAAAAAATTTGCCAAACCCATTCTTTTTTGAATTAGAATATGAAAAAATTTGGATATATAAAACGCTGTACTAAAATGAGTAGCGTTGAAGACATGTAAAATGGAGGTGAGTTGAGATTAAAAGTCAGAAAGTCAAAGCTTAAAATGGCAGTATTATATCGATGGGTGAAACCAGAAATCAGAAATTATGAACAGTTTCCTTAAAATAGTCAGAAACCAGAAATTATGAACATGGAAAATGAAGAAATTAATTAATTAAAGTAATCAAGAAATCAAAAAACAAGAAGGGACAGAAAGTCAAAGCTTGTGTAACACACAATTCCTTAAAACGTACTACGTATTTGTTACCTCCCGCGGTGCTAGGAGCGTTGCAGTGATAGTTTCACAGGATACGGCAGCTACATACAATCGTTTGAGTACACAATCGGTTGTTCCGCCGAATGGAAACAAAGTATGAACAGTTCTGATGTGGAGCAGAAGCAGTTCTGATTCTGGGAAAAAATAAAACGTTACAGGAAGAAACAAAAAATTAAATCGTATATTTGTAATCGTATATTTGTAAGATAGATTTTCGGACGGCATTCGTGTCCGCAGGCAGTGGCGGATGTGTTTGGTTCAGGGGTGTTCATATGAACACCCAAAAATTTGAAAATTCAATACAAAAATACATGTTAAGAATTTATGTATGTAATTTTTATATAATATTTTAATAGTAAAATACTTTTGAACATCCAAATTTTAGTAGCAAGATCCGCCACTGTCCGCAGGTTGCCTGCACACACAATACGCGGTTTGTCTTCTCCGTTTTCGGGGAATTGATCGACACCCCCGCGCGTGAAGAGGGACTCTCCACCGAGGAATCTTAACTCAAAATTGAGTTGGTTTTCGAATGTAGGACAAATCACACTGGAAGCTTCGAGAATTAATTTCTCATACACCCGTTATCCATTTCGAATTCTCCTTATATCAAATTGAAACCGGGGAATTCGAAATCACTTTGCACCCACCCAAATCAGGAGTGATATCCACTCAATATTCTGCCATAAATTATTGATTCAATGTAATTTTAACACACATTTCCAACATATATTTCACTAGTTTAGTTGCACAACTTGTAGGATCACCAATGACCATGATTCCGGACTATATCTCATGTCGTTAGTTTTTATGAAATCGAAAACGGACTAGGAAGATACAAACTAAAACTGAACTTTCTTTTCGAGAGATTAGTAGTAACTCAAATACAAACAAATTTGTTCCATGACTTGTGTTAAACAGATGTTCCTTGATTTGAATTGTAACTCAAATACTTAAATTCTTATTATACAAAATAAAACTACAATCTATTATGAAATTAATGACATTCTCGTCTTGATTCTATTTTTATTTTGAATATTCATATCTAAAACTGTCCATCTGAACACTTGAACTAATATAACCAAACCGTTCAACTCGTGTTCACCCACGCTCCGCTTCTTTGAGAAATGTTCTTGGCCCGCCAGGCCACTGATGGTAATTTTTCATCATGTAAATAATTGTTGACAATGGAAATTATGTAATTATTCCAAGAATGCAAAGAAGGTGACTCATCATATTAATTACCCCTATGATATTAAATAAGGTAATTAATTACTCAGACTAGTGATCTGAATGAATAAATGCATTATTGATTTATTAATATGTTACTCCGAATAATACAGCAGGAGCATTCTTATTTAATTAAACTACAAGAACACATGTACAATTATGTCACAATCGAGGCCGAAGAAACCATCTTCCTCCCGCATGGTTCGTCAAACAATGCATTGGCATTGACAGCAACCTAACCTAATTAAGCAGTGACAGATGTTGGAACAGCAGTGCCGGAGTAATTAACTTGCGCAACTTTGTCACTTTCCCAGAGTTGTGGCAATGCTTCCTTCATGTTATGGATACTTTCCAACACATAATCTGCACCCTGCACTCTCTGAGGTTTCCCAACCTGAACAATATCAACAACCCTTTACCTAAATTATGGATGAATAACTCTTTAAATAATAATAATAATTTACACCGTTTTATTCATTCACACTACTGACCAGAACAGTGTGAAGGCCTACACACTTTCCTGCTTGTATGTTCCGGACGCTGTCTTCAAAGAACAGCTGTAAAGCAATGAAGATAACGAATGAACACAAGGAGTATATCTGGCATAAATACAATTTTTTTGTTCCAAATAAAAAGTCAATCTTCACGCATGCAAAATGCAAACTGTACACGAGGCTCAGATATCAGTCTAAAGGACTTATACAAACTAAAGATGCAACAACTTGTTCAAAAAGTGCATCATTTTGAACACAAGAGTGCAATTCTGGCAGAGTGGCAGATAAAAGTGCATCTATACAGAAGATCACACGGCTAATATATGATCTTACAGTTCTGTACGGGTCAATATTAGCTATTTGAAGAGCTTTTTCAATGGCAGCCTCAGACGGCTTGCACAACACTGGTGTCTTGGGCAATGGCGCCAACCGAACACCATTATCTGGTTGAGAGAAATGCCCAATTATATCAAATATCTCTGATCTGTCATCTTCATCATCATCAGGCACATGCGTTTTGCATGGATCGGGATTCAATGTCTCGAAGCATATGATTCCCTCAAAGCAGTCCTCAAGTCCAAGGATCCTAAGCGCTTTGAGGGCATGGACCTTGTCAGCATTCGTGAAAATCTATTCATTTGTACATAAAGAAAGTAAGACAACCAGTAAGTTTTGGAGAAGGGCTTCATCAAATGCAAAACCAACTTCTTAACAGAAGTAGAGGGAGAGACTAGACATACAACTTTCCGGTAAGGCAGTGTAAAGAGAAGACTTCGAAGAACAGGATCGGGCTTCAAATTTTCATATGGCAGTCTCCCGTGTACAAAGCTGCATCAAGAGAAGCTTTAGTTTTCTCAATTATCCAAGCACTTGAAAGCTTTGAATACTGTCTGTGAAAGATAATGCCTTTTGTTTCTAATCTTAAAATCTGTCTATAAGAAAGCAATTTTTTGTTTGTTTCTGATTATTCATTCAGACGCAAAAATTCTGTATGAATAAAAAACTGTCCGTGTGATGGTTGTAATGTGTTGTAAAAAGTGGCTGTACAACAATTTTTGTGCAACCTCAAGTCTGAGAGCCTAAAAACATGTCAGTGTGGAAAAAATCTTAAACAAGTGTGTATGTAATCCTTTGATTCTCACAAGCACACATAATGAATGACACAAAAGAACTTTGGTTGAATTCTCACCTGTGATATTCATCGTAGTCGAAATCATAGCCAATTGCCTGGGAAAAACATTACAGCTTTCTCATAAGCAAAATTTGTGTGATAAACAAAGACATCACCTTCTTTGGTAGAGGAATTGAAAAAGAACCCTCTATTGGAGGAAGAGGCATAAAATTAAACTTACCCTAAGACCTGCCATTGTAGTACCATAATTCTTATACAGCAAGTTCCCCAACTGTTGAGTTATGCTCGGTTCTATGCCAAGTTTCTCAACCATGTAATCTAAATTCATGTATTATAGGTCAAAACGATTTCCCCTACACAGTATTGCAGTTAGAGTGAATGTTGCAAAATACCTGTAATATTCTTTCCGCATGCTGCTGCTAATCCAGAACTGAGGGGATAAAGTGTATCATCCAGATCTTTCGAATAACAAAAAAGTTAAAAAAGCAAGTCAGTTAAATGCTGATTATATATATTCCTGTATTAAAGAAAGGACAGGTGACAGCAACCAACTAGTAGGTGTTTAAAACAAGGAATCATACCAAATAGAAGGCAATCATATGTAGGCCTCTCCACTTGCCCAAATCGCTCTTCATAAGCCATCTTCTATCTAGGTCTGATATAACTTTAGTAGATAATAATGAAAATGCATTAGCATTTAAAAAGACAAACATGCCATAATATAAACCTACCAGAACGAATGAAAGAAAAAGGATTTGGTTTGGGCAATTTATTAGCCCACCCAGACAGGCACAGGCCTTGGCTTTCGAGTAATAATGCATTGAAATGAAAGTGCAGATTATGCATCCCGCACCCCCACTGTGGGTTATTTATTACACAGTGGAGTAAAAACAGACTTAACAACAAACTACTCGAATTCATGGAACACAAGTATTAAATTTGAACTCGGAAAAGAAGAAACCTTTTACGAGACAAATCACATAACATTTTAAGATTTATTTTGGGCCAAAAGAATACATTAAGAAAGGGAAGAGGAGAAAGTAGCAGAAACTAGTACCGATCGAGAAAGAAGAAAGGAGCAATAATTTGATTATTGGTGGAGGGAGAGCGAGGGGAGGAAGCAAAGGGCGTTCTCTGGGTTTAAATAGCCACCCCCAAACGCAACGGTTGCGTCCTTTTCATTTCTTTCTCTGATTTTTTTGCGCTCCAATGATCGACTTCTTATTCAAATAATCTGTCGTTACACTATTGTTTCGCGAAATCTAGACCGTACAAATACAATGGTAGGCACCTTAACCACGAAACATCCAAACCCAATCATTCCAACTCATTTGCAAATGTGGTTGCTTTAGAAAAACATATTTTGAAGTGATTTTAGGAAAAGGTGATTAATAGTAAAAATTGATAGTGTGTAAGAAAAAAATGATTTTGAAAAGTAAAAGTTGTTAGTGCTTGGTAGAATAAGTGCTTTTGTGTAATAGAAACAGTAAAAAACACTTTTCTCCAAAAGCCGATAAACGTTTTTTAAGTAGAAGTTGTCACCTGAAAACACCAATTTTAACTTTTTTATGCCAAAAAACAAGAAGCACTTTTTAAGTTATTGCAAATATACCCTTAGATCCGTCAAATAACTTTTGTTTATTACTTTTCAGTTTCATGACTTAATTAGCTATTTCCCTCATTCTATTTGGGGTTTTCATCCGCTATACTCTATAGTTAATATAAAGAACGTGTTTGACATTTAGCGAGTAGCGTTAGTGGATAACAAATTATGTTAGCGGACTGTTAATAAGGGATTCAATCGTTGGGTTTGACAAGCAGAATAGATCAACGGCTTGTCAGAAGATGTTTGGTAATTTTGCTGTTTGGTCATAACAATTAGTAGAAAACGTCATATTTCAAAGAGAAATTACCCAAAATAGGACTAAAATATGTGTATATTCCAAAATAGGACTATCATGTTTTTATTCCCAAAATAGGACTAATTACTGTCATGTTTTAGCAGTATCAGACTTTAAACATGACAGTGTTTTCCAAACTTGGCAGTAATTACTCATATTTTGGGAATAAAAAAATGGATGTCCTATTTTGGAATTTTTAAACTTTTTTACTTTTATTTCGGGAATTTTCCCTATTTCAAAATGCTAACCCAAAACTCTCATATTTATAGTGTTTCCATTTCTGCGGTTTCGTTCAAAAATGTTATGGCCAAACTGCTATTTACCAAACAACATTTTCACTTATAAAAATGCTAAAAGGAGTCAAACGACCATTGTTTTGCTGAAACATCATTTTCCGAACACCCCTATCTTCTTAATCTTTTACTTTATGTATCTAACTCTTATCAAATTTGAATTTTTTACGACAGTATAAAACTTTTAATGTAGTCTGTGAAGATATAAATTTTATTTACTAAAAAGGGAGATTTGCAATTTTAGTCCTGTAACTTTCGGATGTTATCATTTTTTGTCCTGTAACTTTAAGCACTTGCAAATTTGGTCCCGTAACTAATAAATCTTTGTAATTTAAGGACTTCCCAACTAGAAAGTACACTTTCCGGCGGAAAAGTCCAACGCCGGCAACATCTTTTCCGGTATGATATTGCCGGAAAGTGTACTTTTCAGGGGAACAGTCCTTAAATCGAAAGTATTAATTCGTTAGAAGACCAAATTTGTAAGTGACTAAAGTTACGGGACTAATAATGATAATGGTCGAAAGTTACGCGATGAATATTGCAAATTTCCCTACTAAAAATAATCTTATTACGAACAAAGATAAGTTAACTTTATGGACAATCAAACATCATAAATCACATGAGAACCTTTGTACGAGACGAAGGGAATACTTTTTATCAAATACAAAACTTTGAATGCCACGTGCTCAATTTGTAATAATCAATATAAATAACATCAGACATACTCCCCCCGTTCTTTATTAACTGTCTCGCATTCCTTTTTGGGACATTTTTTATTATTTGTCTCTCTTTCTATTTTAGGAAAGTTTTTGATAAAATACCCCCACTTTTATTACTTTTATCCCTCTTACTTTTTACAAACTACTTTATCTTTCCTACTTTATCATAACTTTACTCTACTTAATATACTCTCTTTCCTACTTTATCATCACTTTATCAACACTTTACTCTTTTTAATATACTCTCTTTCCTACTTTATCATTTACCCTACACACTCTACATTTACCCTACTATTTTTCTATTAAAATCCGTGCCCAAAACTAGCGGGACAGATAATAAAGAACGGAGGGAGTACTTTTTTAACAGAACTGGCAATTTGATGAAGATGACTACTGTAGATGTTTTATGTAATTTTTCCTTTACTTTAATAATAAAATGTATTTTACTACGTACCTCCATCTCGTTGGAAGATTCTCATAGTAAAACGGCACAGTTATTTAGACAATAATTAAATAAAGTACTTCGAGTATATTTTGAAAAATAACTTTATAAGCGTATTATTTTTAATATTTAATGATTAATTTATCATTTAAGATTGTTAAATGTTTCCAAAAATGGAAACAGGAACCTTTATATGGGACGTCCAAAAAAGGAAAGTGGGAATCTTCTAATGGGAGTAAATTTTTTCATAGTTCAATATCAGTGAAATTAAATATCTTTGTTCTGTAACTTTGAGCACTTGCAAATTTGGTAAAGTGCTTAAATTATTTTTGATTCAGTCGTTTCATCTAGAAATTCATCAATTTCAACAAATTCAACCAATATCATTGATAGGAATCAGTGATACCAAACAAATTAAATGATATAATTAGAGTAGTATGATGTACTCCCTCCGTCCCAGTCATTTCTTCCGGTTTTGACCGGTATCGCAAATTTAGGTAGTGGGAATCAAGTGAAAATGTATGGTTGTAATTATGTAAGAAAAAAGGTGAATGAATGTGAACCACATATTTTTTCCCAAAGTGAAAGTTGTAAGAATTAATTGGGACGGTCCAAAAAAGAAAGTTGGAAGAAATGACCGGAACGGAGGGAGTAATCAAATTAAATATTAATATTATTTTTCATGTTATTATATTTATCATGGCAAATTATTATTATTACTATTATTATGAGGTATAAAGAACTTGTTCTTTACTCTCTTTCAAAATACTCTCTCCGTCCCGCTAACAATGAGACAAGAGGGAGTGACACGCAAATTAATAAAAAGTGATTTATGTGGTTGATATTGAATTGATAAAGTAAGAATAAAGTAAGAATGATTTATAGCCACACAAACTTTACCAAATTTGGTATGAGACAATCTTAGTGAAACGGACCGATAAGATAAAATGGTATAATCATAGCGGGACGGGGATAATACTAATTTGTATATGCATTTTTTCTTTCACTATGTTAGCATTGACATCATTATCAACTTCTTTTTCTAAATAAGGTTAGAATACAAACGAGCCAAGACGCTATGTGAGTTGGAGTCCTATTTCCTAGCAGGGAGGACAACTTTTGTATACTTTATTTACGAAGTATTTAGTAAGTTTTTTAATTCTTTAAAAAAAAATTATACTTATTTTATATATTTATATCTAGTAATGTCTAGCGTGTTAAAACATGTGGTATAGTGCATTCCACTTTTACCTAAACTTGTTTGATCTCATCTGATCACTTTAGATATGATCTGATCTGATGTAGTTGTTTAAATTCGATAAAAAAGTTAATCTATTTCGGTATAGTCCAATTTGATTTGCGTACAACTCACTTCGCCGTCGTTTATGTTTGAAAAATGCTACTCAGGCCAGGGGCGGATCTAGCTTTCGCATCCAGGTGGGGTCAAAATGTAATTAAAAATGAATATTCAAAAAAATATTTTTTCTAGCAACAAAATCAAAAACAAAAATAAAGATTATAGGAATAAAAGTTTGCATTAAAGTCAAATACAAAAACATCATAATTTTACAATTGTTCTCTATGGGTTTTCATCGATTGATATCGTTTGATAATGACATCATTGTCAATTTTCAAGAAGATGTCTTTTTCCACATAAACAATAAGTCTATCATTGAGCCAGTCGTCACTCATCCGGTTGCTCAACCTATCTTTCACGATATTCATTGCTGAAAATACTCTTTCAACACTAGCGGTTGCAACAGGAAGAATCAATGCCAATGTCAACAATTTGTAAACTAAAGGAAACACCTTGTGCTTCTTAGTTTCTACCAACTTCTCTGCAAGGTCACCAAGTCCATTGAGCTCCTTAAATAAAGCATTAGAGCGCACATCAAAGATATAACTTTCAAGTTGATCAGTGAGAATACAAACATCTAATGGTGAAAAATCCCGGGGATAAAACTCGGCCAATCTAAGCAATTTCTTCTTCTCAAAAGCAGAAAATGAATCTCGTGGAGATAAGCAAGCAATGCATAGTAGCAACTCTGTACTAGCTTCTGAAAAGCGATCACCCAACTATTGCAGTTGCAAATCAATCACAGCACAAAATAGATCATAGCGATGGTGATGCAAATTAGTAAGAGTTGGTCCTTTACGTACGGGGCGACCTCGAGAATCAAAACGGATGAATGTGTCATTCATGTTTGGGATATCAATAGAATGTTGATCACAAAAATTACAAACCTCCTCAAACAATGAATCCCATCTGTCATCTCTAGCAGCTTGAAGTCTGTACCTGCAAATCTAACAAGATCCATTGCATTGACAATATCTTGGTCACGCCTTTGTAAAGCATGATACAACTCATTTGATATTCCCAAAATAAATTTCATCATATGCAAATTTAGAACAAAATCAAAGCAATGCATCATCTTGAGTAAATACTCTATCTCCACCTTTTGCATATACGTAGTTACGTCATCATCGTGTATCACATCAAGAGCATCACCAACAGCAGAAAACATTGAAATCAAGCTCACCAAAGATCTATAATGTGAACCCCAACGTGTATCACCCGCGCGCTGAAGGCAAGATTCTTGGTGAAGACCCCTTCCACTTGAAATTTTACCACTTTCAAGCGCTTCAACAATGAAGTTCAATTGTTTTTCACGAAGAATGTCAGAACGTTTACACGAACCTCCAATAACATTTATCAGTTGAGCAACAACACGAAAAAAATCAGCAATGAGAAGATTCTTTGTTGCAACAGCTACAAGGGCAAGTTGGAGTTGATGTGCAAAGCAATGAATGTAATATGCACTTGGGTTCTCATTAAGAATAATTGTTTTCAACCCACTTAGCCTCCCTTGCATATTACTCGCCCCGTCATAATCTTGCCCTCTTAATCTAGATATGCTCAAGTTGTGTCTACAAAATAGCGTGTCAATCGCTTCCTTAAGTGCAAGTGA